AAACTCCAATCATAATAAACATTGGAATTAATACGCTTTCGAAAAATACATAAAAGAAAAATAAATTTGTTGTAATAAAACTTAGAATTAAAAAAAATTCAATTAATAATAAGTATACTAAAAACTGTTTTGTATCTTTTTCAACACTTGATGCTGCAAAAATACAAATTGGCATTATAAATACAGTTAATAGTAAAAATAATAATGAAATACCATCAACACCCAGAGAAAAAGTTAAATTATACTCTGATATTAATGGGATTTGACTGATATATTGATATCCTAATTCAGATTTATCAAAATTCAGTCAAAGATCAATAGCTATGAAGAACATAGTTATTGATACGACTAACGCTGTGCCAAGTGCATCTTGGCGATCCTCTTTGGGAACAATACATAAAAGTGATATACCTAAGGCTAGTGAGATTATATATTCTAATAATAATGGGGGATTGTATAACATTTTTTACATAAACAAAAAACCTTTTGGTTTATTAAAACCAAAAGTAAAAACACGAGTTTTTGTAAGGGTAAAAAAACCGAATATTTTAGTTTACATTCGCAACAGCAAAATCACTAGCTTCACGACTTATGTCTACTACTTAAACTATGTCTAATACTGGAGCTGAATTTCATCAGTAAATTGTTAAAAATAAGAAAATTCAAACGACATCTACGAAATGTCAGTATCACGCTGCTGCTTCAAAACCAATATGTTGTTCTTTTCTAAAAGAAAAGATACTTAAATAATTACAAAATGGTCTTACGTCTGCAGGTACTTTAGTTACATCAATGGTAGTTACTACCATTCTAACTAAACAAAAAATTAAAAAAATTGTACCAATAATTACGTGTAAACCATGGAAACCTGTAGTTACATAGAAAATAGATCCAAATACAGTTTCACTTCAAGTGAAAGTTACACCATATTTATATTCAATGAATTGACAGCATAAGAAAGTTGTACCTAAAACAACTGTTACAAATAAATGAGCGGCAGAAAGTTTAGTGTAATAATGATTATTTGCTTTTAATAAAGCCCTATGAGATAAAGTTAAAGTCAAACCTGAAGTTAATAATAATAAAGTATTAGTTAAAGGTAAACCTCATACATCTAATGGTTGAATTGATTGTGGGGGTCATACGCAACCTAAACTAATTGCAGGAGATAAACTGACATGAAAGAATGCTCAAAAAAAAGAAAAGAATAACATTACTTCAGAAACGATAAATAATACCATTCCTAAACGTAAACCTTTACGAACTACTTGAGTATGATGACCTTGTCCTGATTCGTAAACAACAGTTAAAAATCAGCTAAATAACACAGTGGTCATTGAGAATACAGCAAATTGGAATACAAAATTATCCACATAACTAATGGAAGCACAATCAGTTGGATGTAAATAAAATACGAAACTTGAAGTTAATAAAAACGCAGAAAATGCTGTTATTACGGGTAATTGACTATTGTCAACTAAATGAAAACCATGTCTTTCTTTTCTATAAAAAAAGTTAGAAGTATTTTGCATTTATTATAAAGGGCTTAAAATCTTAAAGCTTACGCGAAGTTAGCTTTTGCGAACTTTCCTTAAGCAAAGTTTGCTTTTAAGAAATTATGTAATTCTTGGATTGGAGCTTTTTGTTTAACATCAAAGTTTAATTTACGTGCAGTTAAAGAGATTAACGCATTTTTTTTAGCAGCAATTTGATCTAATGGATAGTTATCGAAATATCCATTTAAACCTGCAAACGCTAAAGTAACTTGTTGTTCTACGGTTAAAGGAGCGAAACGACCTTGTTTTAATAATTCTACTAAACGCATTCCACGACCTAAAGTTTGTAATGTTTCAGCATCTAAATCACTAGCGAAAGATAAGAAACCTTCCATTTCACGGAATTGAGCTAATTCTAATTTTAAAGAACCTGCAACATCTTTCATTGCACGAACTTGGCAACCACTACCAATACGACTTACGGATAAACCTACATTAATTGCAGGAATTACACCTTGATTAAAGAATCTTTTAGATAAGAAAATTTGACCATCAGTAATAGAAATTACATTAGTTGGAATATACGCAGATACATCACCTTCTTGAGTTTCAATAATTGGTAATGCTGTTAATGAACCACCTCCTAAAGAATCATTTAATTTAGATGCGCGTTCTAATAAACGTGAATGTAAATAGAAAACATCACCTGGATATGCTTCACGACCTGGTGGACGTCTAATTAATAAAGACATTTGACGGTATGCTACTGCTTGTTTACTTAAATCATCATAAATAATTAATGCATGTTCTCCGTTATTTCTATAACGTTCTCCAATTGTAGCTCCTGAATAAGCAGCTAAATATTGTAATGCAGCAGATTCTGACGCTGTCGCAGCAACAATTGTAGTATAACTTAATGCTTCCGCTTTTCTTAAGTTTTCTACTAATTGTACTACTGCTGAACGTTTTTGTCCAATAGCTACATAAACACAATAAATTCTATTTGGTGCTTTTGCATCGTGTAAATCTTTTTGATTAATAATCGCATCAACAGCAATAGATGTTTTACCTGTTTGACGATCACCAATAATTAATTCACGTTGACCTAAACCGATTGGAATCATTGTATCAATCGCTACGATACCTGTTTGTAATGGTTGATTTACAGTTTGTCTAGAAATAATACCTGGTGCTTTAACATCAATTGCATATAATTTTGATTTATTTACATTGATTTTACCTAATCCATCAATTGGATTACCTAAAGCATCAACTACACGTCCTAATAAAATTTTACCAGTTGGAACACCAACTAATCTTAATCCGCGAGTTACACTAGTACCTTGACCGATTAATCTATCATTACCAAAAACAGCGATAATAGCTTCAGTTTTGGTTAAAGTTAATGCAATACCAGTAACTACTTCATTAGAATTTGTTTCACTAGTACCAAAAGTTACGAATTCACCTGCTTGTAATTTTGTTAATCCCATAACTCTTGCTACACCATCTGCTAATGCAGTGACATAACCAATTTCCTTTCAGTTAATGTTATTAGTAATACTTTTTTTCTTTTCGTCTAAATTGATTTTGGTATTTTTACTCATTTGTTTTTTAATTAAATTTCGTAGTCTATTTTAAACGAAAAATTCTACAAAACTTACGGGTTTAATCATATTGTGGGAAACCCGGTCACCCACTCATACTCTAAATTTTTTATATATTAAGCATTTGTTAAAAATGTTTTTTAATAAAAACCATTCCCCATTTAGTGGGGGAGGACGGGACAAAAAAACACTAGTAAAATCAACAGTATGTATTAGTTGTATATACACAGCGCGCTGTGTATAATACCTGCATATACGACACTAGTAAATATTGTTTATTACATTAGAAAATATCGATAAACAAATAAAGAATAAATAATGATATGCTTTTACGTGAAACAAAAAAAAATAAAAATTATTAAAACGCTTTCGGTAATTTACCTTTGGTACAAACCAAATGGTATAAACTGAAAAATAAAAGTGAGCTATATCCTTAAGGATATAGGTTATCAGTTAAGATAACATCAACTAGTATTTACCTTTGGTACAAAGCAAAAGGTAAAGAAAGAACAATACGTGAAATAACCTATAGGTGTTTCATCGCGTTGAAATAACTAGTTAACCCCAAATCTTTTTAAAAAATAATAAACTAAAAAGTGATAGGAAGAATTAACGATCAACTTCACCAAAAACAATATCTTGAGTACCAATTAAAGCTACAACATCAGGTAAATAATGATTTTTAGACATAACATCTAAACTTTGAAGATGCATAAAACCAGGAGCTTTAATTTTACAACGATAAGGTTTAGTTGTATTATCAGAAACTAAGAAAACACCAAATTCACCTTTAGGAGCTTCAATAGCGGTATAGCTAGCTTGTGCCGGAACAGTAAATCCTTCAGTATATAATTTAAAATGATTAATTAAGCTTTCCATAGAATTTTTCATAACAGATTTAGACTGAGTAATAATTTTATTATTATCAGTTTTAACAGGCCCGCCAGGCATATTATTTAAACATTGATAAATGATAAGAAGACTTTGACGCATTTCTTCAATACGAATACAATAACGGTCGTAAGAATCACCAGTGGTACCTACAGGAATATCAAAAGTTAATTCATTATAAATTTCATACGGTTGATTTTTACGTAAATCAGAATGAACACCAGAAGCACGTAGCATAGCACCAGTAAAACCTAAGTTTAATGCAGTTTTTTTAGAAACAACACCAACATTAATTAAACGTTGATTAAAAATACGATTATCTGTTAACAATTCTTCGATTTCATCAATACGACTAGAGAATTGTTGAACAAATAAATAAATATCATCAAGTAAACCTAAAGGTAAATCTAAAGCAACACCTCCAGGACGAACATAAGCAGCATGCATACGAGCACCAGAAACGCGTTCATAAAATTCCATAAGTTTTTCTCTTTCTTCAAAAGATCAAAGGAAAGGTGTAAGTGCACCAAGATCCATAGCATGAGTAGTTAATGCCATTAAATGATTTAAAATACGAGTAATTTCATCAAACATTACACGGATATATTGAGCACGTAAAGGTATAGTTTCACCTAAAGCTTTTTCTACAGCCAAAGAATAAGCATGTTCATTAGCCATCATAGAAACATAATCTAAACGATCAAAATAAGGTAAAGCCTGTAAATAAGTTTTAGTTTCAATTAATTTTTCAGTACCACGATGTAAAAGACCAATGTGCGGCATAGCTTTTCTAATAAGCTCACCAGCAAGCACTAAAATTAATCTTAATACACCATGTGCGGAAGGATGTTGCGGTCCAAAATTCAAATTGTGAGTTTTTAATATTTCTTTTTTTTGATTTACTTTAAAAAACATATTTCTCTATAATTATACCTTCAGTTTATACCTTTGGTTTATACTTTCAGTACAAACTGAAGAGTGAAACCAAAAGATGCAAAGTAAAAAATTGGAACAAGAGGATTCGAACCTCTGATGGTGGATTCAAAGACCACTGCCTTACCACTTGGCTATGCTCCATTTTGGATTTAATGCCTTTTGGTTTTACTCTTCAGTTCACAATTTTGAGTTTAAACCAAAGGTAAATACTCTTTAGTTTCTACTTTTAGTAAAAACTAATAAGTATAAACTCTGGGCACATTGGGACTCGAACCCAAAACCCGCGGCTTAAAAGGCCGACGCTCTACCATTGAGCTATGTGCCCTTTTCAGTTTATAACTTCAAGTATAAACTCTTTAGGGTAAAAACAATACAATTAAATTAATAATTGATAATTACTTTTTTATGGTTTCAACGTTATTAGAATTTGAGTGGGATTCGAACCCACAACTCATATTTATCTTAAAGATAAATAGCGTTTTGCCATTAAACTATCAAATTTTTTTGAATTTAATTTTATAATTTTAATGATTTATAAACTTTTTACTCTTTAGTTTATAACTGTGAGTTTATACCATTTTAAAACTCGAAACTTGAGAATTTTCACCTTTGAGTTTATAACTTGAGTTCAAACTTGAAGTTGTAAACTGAAAAGAGAATCAAGATAAGGTAAAACCAAAAGGCAAAAGTTTAGAAATTAAACAAAAAAAAGAAAGATTAAAAACCAAATAAGATTAAAAAAGCCATCATTAATCCGAATAATGCAATAGCTTCAGTTAAAGCGAAACCTAAAATTGCATAAACGAATAATTGTTTTGCGATAGATGGATTACGTGCAATTGCACTAATTAATTGTCCAAAAACAACACCGATTCCGACACCAGAACCTGCTAAAGCAATTGTTGCTAAACCTGCACCGATTAATTTTGCTGATTGTAAGATCATTAGTTTTAATTGTGAGATTTCTACAAAATATTGTAGAAAAGCTTTTTGATTTTAAAAAATCAAGAAAATTTGTAAGACGTAAGCCTGATAGGACTCGAACCTACAACTTTATTATTATGAGCAACATATTCTACCATTGAATTACAGGCTTGTTAGCCTAGAGGCGTTCTCGCCTACAGGTTTTATAGCCCATACTTTGTAGCTTGGACCTTTTGGTTTCACTTTTTAGTTTAAACCCTTTGGTCTTACCAAAGGTAAAGACTAAAAGTATAAGCCAAAGGTGATAACTCGAAACTTGAGAGTATACTAAATAGAGCGGACTTTGGAATCGAACCAACCTTTGGGGTCATGAGCCCCACGTGCTACCATTACACCTGTCCGCCTTTACCTTTGTTTTATAATTAAGAATTCATGGTAACTAATGGGGATCGAACCCATGACCTTTTGAATCACAATCAAATATTCTACCACTGAACTATAATTACCCTCTTTAGGGGAAAGATCCTCTTCAGTTTATAACTTTGAGTTTCTACTCGAAACTCTATAGGTTTTACCTATTTTCAGGTAAAGACCTTATTCAGTTTAAACTGAAAAGTATAAACTCTTTAGGGTAAAAACCCTTTAAATTTTTCTGATCGATGTCACTTCAACTCTTTACTTTTAGCTTATACCATTTGGTCTGTACCAAAGGTAAATACTCTCAAGTTTCGAGTAGAAACCATTTGGTTTTATCGAAAATAAAACTAAAAAGTGAAACCAAATGGTTTACAACTAAATATTTTATGTAGTTTTTATTAAATAGCAAAACGCTATTTATTTTAAAGATAAATTAAATAAAAAAATATAGAAAAAGCATTCGTCCCTTAAGAAGTATTTATGCTTTTTAGAAATTATGCTGGAGCCAAGAATTGCTTCATGCCAACAAAATAGATTTGTTTAAAGAAACAAATGTAATACAAAAGTTTTATTATTATTCCGTTCTCCAACTGCACGTTCCCGTACAATTACCTTGTTACGACTTCGTCCCAATCGAGCATTCCCGGACGCAAGCTGTTAATTTATAAGTATTACACAATACAAATCACTTTTCCCACTTTAAGAGAAGCGTCTTTCGGACCGTGACGGGCGGTTTGTACAGAGCTCCAGTACAAATTCACCGCAACTTTGCTGATTTGCGATTACTGGCGATTCCCTCTTCATGTTTTCAAGTTGCAGAAAACAATTCGTCTTAAGAATTTTTAGAGATTTACTCAAAATATTATTGTTCCTCTTTGAAATTCCCATTGTAGCACATGTGTAGCCCAACTCTCAAAGGCCATGACGACTTGCCGTGATCCCCACCTTCCTCTGAGCTTTCCTCAGCAGTAACTCCTAAATTACATCAGATATTTTGTTATAGACTTTTTAAAGTATGGACAATATTTTCCAAATTATAATTAGAAGCGAGGTTTTCGCTCGTTCATAGCAATTAACCATCTATTTCACAACACGAACTTACGACAGCCATGCAACACTTGTGTCATCGAATATGAATCAAGATAGAGTGTATAAATACACATCTGTGATCTTTAGTTTCAATGACGTTCACGAGTTGGTAAGATTAAACGAGGATTATCAGATTAAACCACATGCTCCACCGCTTGTAAGAACTCCCGTCAATTCCTTTAAGTTTCAACCTTGCGGTCGTACTACCCAGGCGGATTGTTTCACGCGTTAGCTGTAAAGAAAAAATATAAAATTTCCCTTTTAACAATCATCGTTTACGGCGTAGACTACCAGGATATCTAACCCTGTTTGCTCCCTACGCTTCCGTACCTCAGTGTCAGTTAAGTCTTGAAAGCTGCCTTCGCTTTCGGTGTTCCTCCTTATATGACAACATTTAAACGTTAACATAAGGAATTCCGCTTACACATCCTTAACTCTAGTCATATCATTCGCAAATCCTACGCTACAGTTATTACTCCAGCATTTTAGATTCAGTTAATACAACAACCTACATACCCTTTACGCCCATTAATGCCGAATAACGCTCGCACTGTCTGTATTACCGCGGCTGCTGGCACAGACTTAGCCAGTACTTCTTTCTAGATTATGGTACCGTCATTATCTTCCCACCTGAAAGCGTTTTACAGCTAAATGCCTCCTTCACGCACAAATTCTCGCTGGGTCAAGCTTTCGCTCATTGCCCAAGATTCCTCACTGCTGTCCCCCGTAGGGGATCAAACCTTATTTCAGTTCTGATGTGGCTGTGCATTCTCCCAAATCAGCTACGGATCATCAGCTTGGTAAGCCATTACCCCACCAACTACTTAATCCGACACTCACCTATCTAACAACGACGTATCTTTATCTTCAAATATTATTTGATCTTATTCAGTATTCCTCAAAGGTTTTTGTAAGCATATCCTGAATTGTTAGGTAAGTTTTAAGTGCATTATTCACCCGGACGCCACTGCAATTATTTATATAATCGCCGTTCGACTCGCATGTGTCAGGCGGAACTCTAGCGTTCATTCAGAGTCAGGATCAAACTCATCAAATTTTATAATTATAAATTTTAATTTATATCAAATTTTAACCACTTTTTTTCTTTTTTATTAAAATCTTTCTTCTAATAACAAAAACTTATTTGAAAGTTTCCCGTTTTTTGTTTTAAATCCTCTTTAGTTTCGAACTAAGAGTTTAGACTTTTCAGTTTTCAACTTCAAGTAAAAACCCATCATTAATGAAAAGATAACAATGGGAAGAATAGGATTTGAACCTATGAAGAACTTAGTTCGGCGGATTTACAGTCCGCTGCCTTTGACCACTCAGCCACCTTCCCTACAAATATTGTGCTTTGTCTTCAATTTTAATTATATTAAAATGGCAGCTTATTTATAGTTATAAACGACAAAGTAAATACACCAATAAAGATAAATAATTTATGTTTATTTCAAATCCTTTAGTTTATAACTTCGAGTTTCAACCCTTTGGTCTTAATTATTAGTTTTTACTCTTCAGTTTACAACTTTGAGTTTATACCATTTGGTTTCACTTATTAATTTTATCTAAGATAAAATCAAAGGTGATAACTAAAAGTAGAGAGTGTAAACTAAAGGTAAAGACTTGAAGTTGAAAACTGAAAAGTCTAAACAGAAACGCTTAAAATAAATTGGAAAAACTATAAACCGATATTAGATGAAAAAATGCTAGAGTATTTAGAATTACTTTGTAATTTTCTTAAAACTCATAACCTTCTTTTCATTTTCATTTTACGTCTAGCTAAAAAGCTATATAAATAGTTAACATTCACATCTAAATACAAAAAAAAATAAAACGCAACGATTCAATATACGGTAGATAAAAATGTTAATTTATCGATTTGTGGCATGTTTTTATTGTTATTAGTTTTTACCCTTGGTTTATACCTTTAATGAAACCAAATGGTTTACATCATTTGGTCTTACTTTTTAGTTTTTACCATTTGGTTTCACTTATTAGTTTTATCTAAGTTAAAACCTAAGAAACGAATACTGTTTTATGGAGTTTAACTCCAACTAAATGGGCTAACCTTTTTGGATAAAACACGTTGAGCTCGAAATGTTAAAAATAAAAGTGTTTGGACTTCGTAAAAAATATTTTCATTCTTGTTGCAAAAACCAAGCTTTTATTTTCACAAAAGCTTGTAAAAACCTTAAAGGTTTTTAAAATTGATAATTGAAAACTTTGCTAATTTGCTAAAATTGAGATTTTTCTGGACTAAATGGCTCAAAAATTATTACATCTATCTCGTCGGGATCCATATCTATATACATTATTTTTTTTTTTTCGTTGCTTAAAAAGTATTGTGAAGAAGTATTTAATTTGTTTTTGGTGTAGTTTTTAATGTAAGTGTTCAGCATATCTAATTTAAATTTCAAGTATTTTTTCTTTAAAGTTTTTTTCTGAGAAACTTTTATTTTAGTTTTATTTGAATTTTTTTTAAATATTTTATAAATGTGTTCACAAGACTCTTTAATTATTGCTTCTAATATTAAACTTTTAGATTTTAATTCTACTATAATAAATTTTGAAATTATAGCATTTCATAATCAATCGTTCGATTTTAGCGCACGAGTAATAGTTCTAATGCCATTTGTATTATGTTTATGTTTGGTACGAACTAATTCCATATCTGTTACTATGCTCACAGCACTAGCAAACTGGATTTGGTTAAGTGGATAAAAGTGTTTTGTTTGTAAAAAATCTTCATATATTTGTTGTTTACTTTTTTCACTAGGTAAGTAGACTTTTTCTAGATTAGTTTTGGAAATAATTGGAACATCAGATAACATTTGATTATATATTTTGAAGCAATACAAAATGTACATATAAGGCAGTAAGATTTCTTGCTCTCGTTGTGCTAGCGCCAATTTAGTTGATTTTGAAACTGATGCTTGTATCAACGTTTCTTCAGTAGTTAGTAAATCAGTAACTATAATTTCCGAGTCTACTTTAGCTTTTATTAAAAAACGAGCAATTATTTCTAAATCCCCCTCAAACTCAAGCTCCGTAATAAAATGTGGCTCTCATCAAGGCTGGTAGTTGTGTTCGTAATAAATATGTCGTAAGGTTGCCATATTTTCCAGAAGTATTATGTCTATAGCATCGAATTCTACGCACTGCAACGCATAGCGTCAATAAAAACGTCTGTGAAGAACGTCTAAGGAACAATTATTTTTCGCCATATATGTAGGGTAATTTTGTCAATAAAATGAATGGATCACGCGGTCAAGCAATCTAACATAATGTTTTCTTCAATATTTTAAATAGGTTGGAAGGTATTCTTTTTGATTTTTGAATTTATATTTCATTTTTTCACTTTTAGCGTCTTTACCTTTTGTTTCTACCATTTGGTTTGTACCAAAGGTGAAAACTCGAAACTTGCCAGTAAAAACTAATAAGTTTCTACGCGAAATGGAAATTCAACTAAAAATAAATTTACTTTGGTTATAAATTTCTTTAATAAAAATAGGAATTAATCTTATAGTTTCTTTTAGGAATACGAAAGGATATTTTTTTAGATTTTTTAGTCCTGGTAAAAGTCGCTCTGTTCAACCATATTCTGGAGAATATTTGATTCAATAATGCTCAAATAAGTCCAAATATGCATCGTAACGTTCCTCAATATAGGGAGAATCGATGCTTTCTCCAACAAACATATCACGAATGTACTTGTCTCTTATCCTAGAAGCAGCTCAGTTGTGTAGAAATAGTGCTAAACGATCACAGAAATACTTAAATGGCTGTAAAACAAAAACCAATAATAACTCACAAAAAACTCAAAAGGAATAAACAAAAAAGTCTGCTATAAGTGCATTGAAGAATTCTTTAATTCTACGTCTAAGTCTACGTTTACGAACGGGGTAAAAAAGTCTACGGATTGCACGTTTCCTTCAACTTTTACCTCTTTTTTCAATATTTTCTTTGTATCATCACGTAATATCAAGATAAATGTTATTAAGTATAAGATAATTATTATGTGGCAAGTCAAATCACTCCATAAAATAAGCAGTAAACCATTTTTTATATACATTTTTTCAGTTTTCAAAGTCTTTTGCGAATGCGGTTGCGTACGGGGTAAAATCAAAAGATGGAGATTTTTTTTGAGGAATGTCGTAAAAGTCAAAGGGGCAGTCAGCTAAAAATGCTTCATGATAAACGTTTCGTTCTAACATCACGTATCACGGTTTTTTTTGCTGCGACTCGATGCATCAACGACCTAATGCTACGATAGGTACACAAATCGCGTCCGGAGTTTCTCAACATAAGGCATAACAACTTAATCGTATTTTAGAATTTGTTCTGTGGTCGTAAACAAAATATTTGGCATAAACCTTTTTTATTAATAACTTACCATCACCTACAATGGTATTCTGCATTTTTAATTGATGCTCAATTTGACTTAAAAATGTTTTTTTACTTAATATATAGTTTTTTAATAAATTTTGTTCAATTAAAGTTTTGGATCTTCCATCAATGCTTTGATTAATCTGATAATAGCTAATATGATGTTTCAAAACTAAATCTTTATTAAATAATTTATAAATTGTTGCGATGTTGTTTTTATTAAAAGTGTAGTCTTTAAAATTGGTTTTACACAAATTTCAGTACGGTATTTCAAATAGTTCTTTGCGATAAAATTTATCTTTGTATTTACGCAAAATGAATTTACGACGTACCATAATCCTAAGTAAAAGCTTTTGCCTAGTAATACGGCGCATCTTAGAAAATTCAAAAAAATTATTTAAACCATATTTCGTATAAGCTTTAGCTCATGTAGCTGATAAATTTCGATAAATGAAGATTGAACCAAAAATACAATAAAATACAAAAAAAAAGACAAAAAATCCTCCTAACTTTATAGCAATAAATGTACAAATAATTGAACTAATTAAAAAATATAACGGAGGTTTAAATCATATTCGAGGAAAGCTTTGACGCAAAAATAAAAGTAAATCTTGCATAAAATTTGAATAAAGGTAAACATATTTTATATACTGAATTACATTCTGTGCATGTGGGTGAAGATAAATCACGTTATAAATATATTGGAAAATATTTTTTACTCACGGGTGCGCTGATAGTCGTGCACTTCTAAATCGCTCCCAGTTCAATATTTTTAGCTCTCAGTAACTTTTACTTATTTTTTTTATAGATTTCATATCAGAAGATAACTAGGATTAATTCAACAATAAAAATTAAAGGTGAAACAGCAATTGGGCAACTTACCATTAATTGACCTAAAGTCGTTTCTCTATAACTTAAGTAATATAAGCCTAATGCCAAATTTATCAATAAATCGCTAACGATCATATACACACGAAAATAGACAGTTAATTCTGTATTATATTTTCGTTTTAATCTTTTGTTGTATATTTTTGTGGTAGCTCAATACAATAACACTAAACCAATTAAAGAATAAACTCATTGCTCTAATGGTCATAATTGAAAAAATTCTATTAAAGTTTTAGTAGTGAATGCAATGACAGGCATTCCTTGTTTTTGCACCAATTTTAAACCGCTGCCATTCTGAACAGTTGGATTGATGCTGTATATATTAGTTAAATCTTTTCTTAGTTGTTTTTTTTTTGATTTTAATATTATAGTTTTTAACATTGGTTTTTGCTTATTATGCAAGGGAGAAGGGAATTGAACCCCTGATTCAAGATTTGAAGTCTCACGTTTTGCCACTAAACTACTCCCTTTACGAATTCTATTAGTTTAAGTGTTAAATATTTATAATTAATATTAAAATACTCCTTATGAGATTCGAACTCATATTTTTGCCGTGAAAGGGCAACGTCCTAACCCTTAGACGAAAGGAGCTTTTTTCTTTTTAGGTTATACGATAAAATTTTTATTTTCAATGACTAAGAATAGGTTGAAACTATAAACTAAAAATAGCTAGTGATATAAAGAAAATTTTAGATTTTTTCTGAGAACTTTTTATTTACGCTCAGAACGGTAGGATTTGAACCTACGGTCTTCTGCTTCCAAGGCAGACACTTTAAAACCACTAAGCTACGTTCCGTACGTCTTATACGTTTTACATCTAAACTTTAAAAACTTTTTAAATCTTTTCTTTGAATTTAAACCAACTAGTTTTCACATTCATTTTCCAAATTAAAATTTTACCTTGAAGTTTAAAACTGAAAAGTATTAACGTAAAATTGAACATTTTATGATTGTAATCAGTATTTCGAAGTTAATACCTGCTACCGGACTCGAACCGATACTCCAAAAGGAACTAGATTTTAAGTCTAGCGCGTCTACCATTCCGCCAAGCAGGCTTAACTTATTTTTACGATTTGCTCAAAGTTGGAATTGAACCAACGACCTTTGGATTTTCAGTCCACTGCTCTACCACTGAGCTACTCGAGCGCTTTCTGTTTAAATTTTTAGTAAATGAGCCTAAGTAGACTTGAACTACTAACTTCACGCTTATCAAGCGTACACTCTACCATTGAGTTATAGGCTCTTTTATCGTAACTTCTTAATTTTTATTTTTAAGCGCTATTAATTACAAATTACAAAAAATTTTGTTACCTGGAGGGTAATGACGGGATTGAACCGTCGACCTTTTGGTTAACAGCCAACTGCTCTACCACTGAGCTAATTACCCTTTTATAGGTCAAACCTATTTTTAGGTGAAGACCCTTTTCAGTTTATAACTTAGGCAAAACCGAATGTATAATTATAGAGAAATATGGAAATAACCGGAATCGAACCGGTACAGCATGCTTGCAAGGCATAAATTCTACCATTAAATTATATTCCCGTAAATGATTTATATTGACGGAAGAGGGACTCGAACCCCCAACGGTTGGATTATGATTCCAAAATTCTACCATTGAATTATTCCGTCTTTATTTTCTTTGGTTAGAACAAAGGATAAAAATTAAAATTGAATCTATACATAAATTGTGGCGAGGAAAACGGGAGTCGAACCCGCAGCCTTTAGCTCGACAAGCTAATGCTTGACCAATTAAGCTATTTCCTCTTTAGTTTAGAGTTTAAATAAAAACGTGAAACCAAATGGTCTTTACTTTTAGTAAAAACTAATAAGTACAAACTGAAGAGTTTTTACCTTTATTTTTAGTTTAAACCAAAGATATAAACTAGAAAGAAAAACCTCCCATCATAAGATACAAATCAAAAATAAAGGGAGGTAAAAGCCGAAGCTTTTGAAAAAACAAATTAATTTAAGTGCATTACAAAAATAATTAGTATTATTTAGTGAATCATTTTACAATTGATCGACTTATAACCTATAAACATTATGTTCTTTAATATTTTGAAAAAAGATTAGAGGTAGGCTTCTTACTTACATGCTTTCAGTAATTATCCCGTCTAGATGTAGCTACGCAACTATGCTTTTGAGAAACAATTACTAAACTATAGATCTATTTTACCCGGTCCTCTCGTACTAAGGATAAGGCCTCTTCTTTTTTATGTTATCAGTACAGAGGGACCGAACTGTCTCACGACGTTCTAAACCCAGCTCATGTACCGCTTTAATCGGCGAACAGCCGAACCCTTGGAACCGCTTTCAGCTCCAGGATGCGATAAGCCGACATCGAGGTGCCAGACAATCCCGTCGATAGGAACTCTAAAGGATTATTAGCCTGTTATCCCCAGCGTACCTTTTATTTGTTGATCGATAACTTTTCCATACAATATTATCGGGTCACTATGACCGACTTTCGTCTCTGTGCGACCTATTTAGTCTAACAGTCTAGCAAATTTTATGCCATTATGCTCAAAACTCAATCAAAATCGAGTTGAATTTACCTATGTACACCCTCGTTACTTTTTAGAAGGCGACCGCCCCAGTCAAACTACCACGTATCAACTTTCACTGTGACGATCTTTTTTAAAGATCGTTTTCTTGCGAAAACTCTTATAGAGAATAACCTTTCAGTTTTCCCTAGTAAAAATCACTGCTTAGTTCTAAAAATTGAAAAGAGTGGTCTTTCACATTGCATCTCAGATCTAACTTGTGTTAAACCGTCTTAGATTTCCACTTAGTCTACACATTTAGTTTTTAATAACAATTGATACATATAGTAAAGGTGCATGGGGTCTTTCCGTGTAGCTGATAAGAATGCCGCATCTTCACGGCAAGTTCAATTTCACTGAGTGAATCCTGGAGACAGTAAAGAAGTCGTTATGCCATTCATGCAGGACGGAACTTACCCGCCAAGGAATTTCGCTACCTTAGGACCGTCAGAGTTACAGCCGCCGTTTATCTTTATTTGCATTTTATGCTTGCACATAAAACTTTATTTTACAGACACCGGGCAGGCCTCAGACCCAATACTTCATGTTTTCCATTTTGCAGAGTCCTGTGTTTTTACTAAACAGTCGCTTCTTTCATTTTCTTGTCACCTATAAGTCTTTTCCAACTAAAGTCTTTACTTCGTCAATAGTGTAAAATACTAAAATGGAACACTTACGGGCCCTCCTTCTCCCAAAGTTACAGAGTTAATTTGCAGAGTTCCTTCAAGATTCTTCTCTCAATCGCCTTAGTATATTCTACCTATCCACCTGTGTCGGTTTTCAGTACGGTACTCAATTAGCTTTTCCTGGTTGAAATTCAATCTTTTGGTATTTACATCAATTTACCAATTCTATCTCCTAGTCAACCCTGTTGTGCCTTTTTTAGTATTTTATCTAAAATTCATCCATCGAATTTTCTTTTCAGACTTATTCTTAGGGACCGCCTTATTCTACATAACTTTCACTTATTTGTAGAAAACCTTGGACTTTTGGCGATAACAATTTTTTAATTATTATTTTTCGTTACTCATGTCAGCATTCTCACTTTTCGTACAATTTGATCAATAAGTTAAACTTACCACCTAAACCTTTCAGTTTATTTTTCGTACAGAAAACGTTCCGCTACCATATCATAATTATCATTTTCTTCTGACTATTCAATCTTACTTTGAGTAAGAACTTGCTCTTTTACTTTTTACATAAAATTTCAATTTTACGCCATTAAAGATCATTATTTTATGATATACACTGCTTCGGTGTATTGAATTAGTTTCACAACATTTTCGATGCTAAAGTGCTTAACCAATAATTTTTAACGCTTTTTTTAAAGGATGGCTGCTTCCAAGCCTACCCTTTGGTTGTCATCATTCTTTAACTCTCTTTCACTATTATCAATATCTTTGAAACCTTAGCTTATGCTCTGGGCTGTTTCCCTCTCGACTTTTGACCTTAGCATCCAAAGTCTGGTTCTGATTTAATTTCTGGTATTTGGAGTTTCCATTTGTTCGTTAGAATTTATTCAATCCCTCTTACAAATAGAGTGCTCGACCTCCTATGTTATTTTTTATAACAACCATTTCATATTTATTTGCATAAATATTTTAATCAGACTCTACTAAAATAGATTTCGCGGAAAACCAGCAATTCTCAAGTTTGATTAGCCTTTCACCCCTAAACGCAACTCCTCACGATCTTTTGCAACAGATTCGTGTTCGCTCCTCAGACTTTTACGTCCTCCTGCTGGTCACGTCTAGCTCACTTGACTTCGGGTATAATTATAAGAACTTTTGCTTTTTTCCTTATCTTTTCAATAAGTTTTACACAATTTAATTTCTTTTCGCCTACGACTTAGTCATTTAAGCTCGCTCTCATAATTAAGTTGCTGACCCATTATACAAAAGGTACCATATTTTATTATGTGATTTCTACTTTCTGTATTTCAACTCTTTTCACCCCTTTAAAGGTTTCTCTTTCATCTTTCCTTCACAGTACTCGTTCACTATCGGTTAATTTGTCATATTTTTTTTAGAGGATGGTTCCCCCTTTTTCAATCACGTTTTCTCGCGACCTACTTGATTCCATTTAATTTTTTATTGATACTGGACTTTCACCTTCTTTGGATACATGTCGAATTAGGGCGGGTAAAAAACAATCTAATCTGTTTCTTGTTAGTTTTATCTTGCGATTCTACCGGACTTGCAACATTACGTTTGTACGGTTACTCCCCTCAAAACAATTATTTAGAGCTAAATATTCGAAAGATATTTCATGCATTATCCCCTTTTCCAAAAGGATGTTTCTCAATATTAATTAAACTTCATATTTTTTATTTCAATTTCGCTCACCACTACTTTCAAAATCTCTATTGATTTTTATTCCTCTAACTACTGAGATGTTTCACTTCGTTAGGTTTTCTTTTTTTGTTTTATTTCTCGCGGGAAACTTTGGCTTCAACGGTCTACTAACCTACACCAATTATTTTCGTCTTTCTTACGTCCCATTTTACAAATTACCTAGATATCCACACAGAAATCTCGTTTGTGCTTCTGGTTCTAATCAACCCTTACTTTTATTTTTAACGTACTAAACTCGGACCGGATAAAATAAAATAGTTCGTTATTATAGTATTATTCATTTATTTGAAACAGAATTTCGTATATTTTTAGTTATTTAAAACAGAAATTCGAATACATTCAGTTATTTGAAACACTATATTTTATCGATTCCGATACATTAAATTATTTGGAACACTCGAATTGGGGTTCAATCCGCGGTTTTTTGCAGCTCGACGTTTTAGCAGTTCAAATCCGCTTTTTGTAATTCCCGCCCTTGACGTACAGACTGACGTCAAGGAAGGTTTTTAAATGTTTCTTTTTAAAACGTAAAACTAAGAAATTTTACGATGGTTACGTAATAATATACAAGGTACTGGTAGTTTCTTAGCAATTGCTAAATAAACTATTTTTGCTTTTTTTGGTGAAACAAAACTAAATTCTAAAAATGTTTGACCTGCTTTAACTCGAAAAGCTCAAAAGCCTAAAGCTCCTTTACCCTTACCCATACGAATTTCATTAGGTTTTTTACTTACTGGAATATCGGGAATGATTTTGAATCAAAATGTTTCCATTTTACTTAAATGTTTAGAGATTTGTCTACGTGTGGTTTCTAATTGTTTTAGATTCATACGTAAACTTTTTAAAATTTGAATTCCATAAACACCAATATTTACTTTTGATGATGATTTTTTTCATTCAATAGGAGTTAAAACTCCTTTGTGTTGTTTTTTAAATTTTGTCATTTTTGGTGGTAATATAACTTTTTTCATTTTTAGTAGAAGATTCAAACTTTAATACCGAAAGATCCAATACGTGCTCTTGCTTGTGAACTTGCAAAGTTAACTTTACGAGAGAAGTTTTGTCTAACTAGTACATTACGTTTTAATAAATAAGAACGACTTTTATCGGAAGAATTAATACGACCAGAAATCGCGATGCGATAACCTTTCCCACGAGCAAACGGTAATGAACGTAATGCTTTTGATAAGCCGTATATAATTGATTGATGGTGTTTGGTTTTTTCAAATTCTTTTGCAATATGATCTGCTAAAAGTTGTGGATCTAAAAATTTCATACACATACTTGCAATTGGCATAAAGCTGCGAATTAATAAAATTCTACGTACCTCAGATAAACGAGATTGTGTAAAAGATATTAATTCTTCCTGACGTAAACGTTGGAAAATATTTGATTTTTTCTGAAATACATAAGTATTTTTTAATTTATTACGTAAACGTTTTAGTTTTATGTTTTTTTTGCTAAAACGTTTGGTACGATCTCCTGTTAAAGTATAACGTTCTCTTAATGAAATTAAAGATTTTGCACTTTTATTGTTTCTTGCATCTAATTTACGTAAAGTTTTTTTAATTTTATAATCAAAAGCTTTTTTTTTATCATTATAATCGCGTAAATAATTAACTAAACGTCAAAACTTTAAATTTTTAAATTGAGATAACGGACGAACTACTTTCACTTCAAAATCCATTTTAAAATAATTTTGTAATATTTTTTGTAATCCTAATTTATATTGATATTTCACTAAAGTTGCTGCATGTGTTTTATAATTTTGTCTAAGTGTTTCCCTGATTTTTCAAATATTTTTTTTGGTATTTTGTTTTTTGTTTAATTTTGCTTCAACTTTTTTGTAATTTTTTTCAAAATTTTT